AAATTCACATGAAATTAACCATTTGGAGACGAACAGTTTAGTGGCATTTACATTTAGTGTTGTACAAGCATCTATTGCATTGCTCCAAAATAAAATCCAGTGCCCTGTAAGCAATTCTTCTAGCCCCTACTCTACCCCAGTGGCCCTTGGCCAAGGCCTATCTACATTCTGTTTTTATGAAGTTATCTAGGTATGTCATGTAAGTGAAACCATACGCTATATGACCTTTCAGGTCACTATGTGACCTCCTTTCACTTAGCATAATGTTTTTAATGCTTCTCCATGTTGTATGTGTGGGTGATTTTTTCCTTTTATAACTGGATAATCTTCCATTGTATGTGTAAACATTTTGTTTACTCGCTGATCTGTTTATGATAGACACTTGGGCTGTTGTGACCATTCATGTACCAGTGTGTACATACCAGTACTTCAATTCTTTTGGATGAATGTCCAGGACTGAGGTTCTTGGTGTTATGGTAATTCCTGTAATTTTTTTGAGGATGTTTTAAGAATTATTGTCACTAGAGGATGGTGGTACGCAAGTGTTACAGTAAGGAAGATGGGTGCCCCAGGAAGAGAGGACTGATGGCTCAGTCTTCCAGCGGCAGTGCAGCACAGCTAGGCCTGGGCACAAATCCAGCTTGTTGGTAGCAGCTGCACAAGGTACCTGCCCAGCTCCTCCCACGTGCACTGCTCTGTCTCCTGCTAAGAATATTGAAGTGGGATGGTTTTCATTTTTCAAGCGAAGAATTGGTTCCATATTTATAGGATTTGCTGAGGATGCACTTAGTTTCAGGAGAACTGGTAGTTTCCATTCTATTAGAAACTAAGCTATTATTTTAGAGGTGTTGTTACAGAACTGCACATTGTTCAACTGTGCAGGAAAGATGCTTCCAGTACACTGACTGTGGTAGTCAGTGAAGAGCAGCTTAGGGCAGAGAGGGAGTGAACTCAAGTTGCAGTAAGTGCGAGCAAGAGCATGAATTCTCTGAAATGGACAGAGTAGGAAGGACACTCGCAAAGGATGCTGTGTTAGTATGTTTTGTGTTACTGTAATGCAATATCTGAGGCTGAGCAATTTTATAGTAAAGGAGGTTTCTTTTGCTCACAGTTCTGGAGGTGATAGGCTTGTACCTGGTGATGGGTTTAGCCCCTAGAGCTGGTCACACTGAGCATCTTTTCGTGTGCTTATTGGCTATTTGCACGGCTCCTTTGGTGAGAGGTCTGTTCTTTGCCTTTGCCCATTTTTTCAGGGTATTGCTTTTTATCACTTAATTCTATTCTAGTACAATTCCCTTTTCAGATATGTGATTTGGAAAATTTTTCTTGATTTCTGTGGGTCATCTTTTCACTTTTTGTGGTGCCCTTAAGAAGCATGGCAGTTTTGATTTTGATAATTCAATGTTAGTATGCAAGATGTTGCTTCCAGCTGCTTTTTCAGGAATCTGAATTAAGACCTTGGGTGAGGTAGGTACTAGCCTCATTTTTCTGGTGGGGGAACTAAGGATCATGAATGGATAACTAATTTTCCAAATCCTTTAGCTAGTGTAGAAGGAAACTGGATTTTCACTGAGGGCTGTGGGATATGGTAAAAGTTGCTGCATTGTGTCAACTTGAGAAGTTTAGAAGTTTAATGAAGTGACTCAGCGGGGGGCCAGGAGCCTCACTTGTAAACATCCTCATCCAGCACAAGAGAGGGGCAGGAGATGGTGTGAGTGCTACGCCCACCCTAGGGCAGGTAGCCTGCTTACCATGTAAGAGGAAAGGAGGCTTTCTCTGCCTTTCTTGTGCTCTTCTTGCTTTTGCCATCTTCTGCCACCTTGAAGTGTTGCCCCTGTGCCACGCCACCCTGCCTCGGAGCCAGCTGACTATGGACTGAATCCTCCACAAACTGAGCTAAATAAACCTTTTCTTCCTAAATTTTGGGTGTTGGGTATTTTGTCTCAGCAACGAGAGAAAAGTAACCAAGACAGATTCCTTAGCTCTGCTCTGAGCTATCCTTTGTGACAAGATGGGGGCACACTAAATGTGGCTTGTGATTGCACACTAGCACCTTGGTCGCTCAGGTACTACTGATGTTATGGGTGGTACATGGGGTTTCTGCTGTGAGTGTGGTGGTTCACGCACCCTCATGGCTCCTGTTCCTTACACGTCTCAGGATAGCCACATCTTGAACCTCCAAGGCAGGGGAGTTTTTGCAGGAGAATCTTCTCGTCACGATCCTCGCTTGCTCTTCCCCACAGGAAGAGGAGGAGGAACCCATCCAACTGGAGAGCCTGAGGGGGTGAGGAGTGATGGTGGTAGGGCCAAGTCCACTGTGTGGGCTTTAGGCCTTGTAAGTCCCTCACTCCTGCCTTTCCTTGAATAACTCGTTTCCTGCCCTTTCCCTTGCCCTTCTGTCTGTGTCACGTTGGTTAGGAACTTAAAGGAGAGGGAGATTGAAGATTAGATCATCCTTAGTACTTGGAGCTTTGGTTTTCATTTTGTATCTCCACCCCCTCCATGCTCAGTGGCCATTGAATGAGTGGATGAAAGGACCAGCTCACAGCAAGTCCGTGTGTTCCTATTAAGAGTACAAGTACATGGTGGTGCCAGGGTGTGCAGCTGCCCCGCTGCTTGTCTGTGGTACTCCCAGCAGGGAAATCTCTTCTGGGGCTGTCAACACTCCCCTCTGCAAACACCCCCTTAAACCAACCTTAGCCTCACTTTGGATCACTGCTTACCTCCCCTGTTGCTTCTTCACAGATTGGTAGATTGGGGTCATTTCTATACCAGGTCCTGTAACGTAATAGCCCTGTTGAACACCATGAGCATGCATTCTTGCATCCATTTCTTACCCTTCCTAGGTCTGTATTTCAAGGGACTACAATTCCCAGGCTCCCTTGCCAGCTGGCTTCAGACAGGTCCTGGCAGTGAATCCTCAGGTGGAATCGAGGAGGAGGGAGGGGAGAGGAGCACTGTATGTATCACAGTGACATTTCTTGCTATGGTGGTGTCTTCTCTGTAACCCTGGCTCCCACCCACCAGCTCCTCTCTCAATGAAGCAGCTTCCTGCAGTCTGTCCAACTTTCCTTCTGATTTGTGGACCTTGGTAGCAGAGGTTTCCCACGGGGCTTAACCTTTGGGAGGCCTTGTGGTTGTCCCATTTGGATCCTGGATTTTTGTGTCTTCAGTACCAGCCACGTGTGTGACTTCTGTCTGCTGGAATGGTTTCTGTTTCCTGGCTGATCACTGACCACGGTCTCCTTACCAGTGAAATAGGAAGGTGGGACTTGACCTGACAGAGTGGCCGAGGCTAGACTGCAAGGTAAATCATAATTGTTAGTTGTTACTGTTACAGTTTGGGGGGCGTGGAGCATTAGTTTTCCCTGTCCCGGGAAATAGTGATGCTTTTGTTGCTGCACAAATCTGTCCCGGTCATTGGCCCTTTTTTGCAGCTCTTGCTTCTCTTTGAGAAGGTGGAGGCAGTGCAGCCACTAGCCTTTCTGCAGTAATCTAGAGACCAGGGAAAGGCTTTTCCAGCATGGCCACAGTGTGGCAGTTCACATTCAGCTGAGGACATGGTGATTGCTTGTCAGAGTGCTCTTAAATCACAAGTATTTGGAAGGGGGTAAGTGAAGAGAACAGGGAAACGAGCTACCCTTGGAAAGAGAATTGGCACGATGAGGTTGGGTCTCTCTGTCCCAGGAACAAAATTGGTGCTGACTCCAAGTCTTTCCATACAGAAGGAGAGGAGGCTGAAAGGAAGCATGGCAGGTAGTGAGTCCTCCATAGCCCAAGGCTGGAGCTCTGCACTAACTTCTGTGCAAGGGGCTACAGGAGGAAACATGCTGTAGTTCTAGAATGTTCTTAGGATTGGGAGAGACTCTCTGGTCTGAGGATAAGACACCCTCTAAACCAACCTAAAGCAAGACCTCTTCTTGAGTTTCTTAATGAATTTGGGCCTCTACCATAGTTTCCTCTATTCCCCAGTTGGATTGGTTGTTTTCTGTGTAAAGTTTTGACTAAAATTTTGTAAATTATTAGCTTTAGATAGAATAATTTGGACTGGAGATCTGAATAAGAGAAAAATTACAATATTCCATCCCGTTGATTATCTGAGAACTACACAATGAAACAGTGACATAACTGTAACAAATGATAAACTAGCTAGCAGTGAATTTTTTTTCCAGAAAAATTTAACAGATTTTTATTTATAATTGTTATAAAGTGCTGAAACTTGTTCACTGAAATATTTTTAACTTGCATTAATGCTTTACGTGCCATATGAGGATGAAAACACATACACAAATGAAAATGAAAAAACTGCCAATACCAGATTTTTGTTCCCTATTTTCCAATTGCAATCAGGTACTTAGGTACTTTTTTCCCCCGTAATTTTATTGAGAAACAAATAGCAATGAGACAGTTTCAAACCAAATTGGTAGGATAGTTTTAATAATTAACACATTACATACATTCTTCCTAGTTGGCCAGTTTTCTTAAGTGAACTTGTTAACAATTTGTGGTTTTTACTGTAATGTAATTTTATTATGCTGACCCACAAAATAGATCCATTTTTAAAACTATTTTTAAAAACTACATGTCTGTGCACATTAAACACCTTTAAAGTGTCTTTAAACTAAAAATAACTAAGCAGACTAATCTTGGAATGAAAGTTCAAATCTAGTACCATACTGTTGGTGTACTGCTGAATATTTTCTTTTTTTTCCCATAATTTTATTGAGAAACAAATAGCAATGAGACAGTTTCAAACCAAATTGGTAGGACAGTTTCAATAATTAACACATTGCATACATTCTTCCTAGTG